AAAAAAAACAGTGCAATCACGTAAAATCCAATAGTCAGTGAAAAATAATTAATTGGAGAGAATTTAGCGTGTGGATTTTGGTCTTGACCATCAAAAACACTTCGATTGGATCTCTGAAACGGGAATGGGAGTATCAGATACATTGAATTACGTGGCATTTATTGGGAGCTCCGTTGTTGTTCGTACTTATTTAACAAACTGGCATTGAGTGAATCTTAAAAAATGTTTACAATTCTTACTTATCAATAATCAACAAATTTCGATATAAAAATTCATTTGAAAGTCATCATTTTTTCGAATTAGACGCCAGCTCCATAAGCTCAATATAATCCTTAATTTCATTTCTGTACATCGTAAGAAACTTCGGTGTCTTACTTACATTGTTGATGAGAGCCTTGATGTGCGATTTTCTGAAACATTAAAGTCTCTATTACTTTTCCATCAACTCAATGTTAACTACATAAAAACCGAGAATTAACAGATTATTCACGGTTTTTGGTGGAAAAAATTTAGATTTCAATAATGTTCTGGTAAATATACTTAAAAAAATGACAAACATGTTGAAGAACTTAAAACATTAATTATAGAAATTTAATAGAATTTTTTAAATGAGTGTTTTGCCTTTTTTTCTAACAGTGAAAACCCAATAATAATGTTTATTATTACGTACCTAACATTGCCAAGATTGCACTTAACATAGACGTCATCCGGTGTAATCTGATGAAACGGCTTGACATTAACGAACACCTCAAGAATAGTATCCATGGATGCAGTGGATACATGAAACGATATTTTCTCCATCGTAACCTTCACAACATCTCTGAAGCTCAATCTCACGAGATTCTCGTAAAAATCGTAGATAAACCTGGCGTCCTGAGAAACAGCTTCAAGAAGTGGTAAAACATCAGCATAAGTACTATACTTCATCCTCAACTCCTCGACATTAATTTTCTCCATCATCAAAGGATCCAGAATTCTGCGAAACGGTATTTCCGTATCAGCCATCCTCGGTACCTTATAAAAATCCCTGATCATTCCTATGCCATCGTCATCTACAGGCGTGACAAAAATAATTCCAAAGACAAATGCTGTCTTTTTGAATTCAATAAAAACTTTCTCCTCCGTGCACCTGCAGAGGATCCACATGCAATGGCGAGACGCTCGTTCTTCCAAATTCTTTTTCATCAACTCGAATGGAGTCAATTCCAAGTCATCTTCCTCTTGAGGATCGATTCCAGACGTTTTAGACGAATCAGTCTCTTTATTCTGCATTTCCGCCAGCTTCTGGCGATCTACTTCCTCCATTTTCCTCTGCCTTTTGATGGATTTCATGATTACATCGTTTTCTTCATGGACCCGAGCCAGATGAGCTACATAAGCCGCATAAACAGCTCCTCCAAGAACTTCTTTTTTAGGTTCGTCAGAGGTATCAACTAGTGCACAATTTTCTTTCTCCTGAGATTCATTTTCACCGTCTCCACTTAATTTCTCCTCTAGGCTCAGATTAGGCACTTTCTCTTGACACATAACAACAGTTTCATCAAACATCTCAACCCTCATCTCACCATCAACCTCCATAGACTGACTGGAGGACTGACTCTCGATGACTAAAATCTGTTTGTTTCCCACCTGTTTGATCATCTTCTTCTCTTCTTTCTTATGCCTCAAGATGATATGAGTTTCATGCCCAGTAGATGCTTCCTGTCCATCTTCTGATGTCTCAGGAATACCCTCCTCCTGGAAACTCCTGCAGTTTCTCGAACTTTCATCTTCCATTTGGTTTCTCTGAACATCCTCTCCGTTCTTTCTGAACTGAAAATTACTAATATCCTCAGTGAACTCTGCCTCAGGTACAGGCACAGAGCGGAAATCCCCTGCCATTTCTTGGTCTCCAATTTGCATTGCTGCTCGAAGAAGCTTGGAGTCATCACTTCTGTTTACACTGGCACTGTCCTCAAACATGAATGACGGCGCCTCGATGTTCTGCAGATCTGATGATCCTAACGCCCCGTGATCCCCAGGTTTTGTGAAGGCCTCGGTCAACTCCATACACACATCCTCGAGATTTCTGACTCCAATTACAGCAGACGATCTGATACTCTCAGCGAAGTCCTCGGATTCTAATGGAACTGGAGAGGAATAACTCAGATCTTCACTAGGTCCTTCAAACAGTGGTCTCGCCACTGGATGCATGCTGGGATAGTCCGGAGGGGTTCGATTCTCCTTGAACGAATCTGAAGACTCAGTTCCAGAAATATCAGTTGGAACAGCTGGGCGTGGATGAATTCGATAAGTTATATCTTTGAGAGGATTCTCCTGGAAGTGACCGTTACACTGGGCTATGGTCTCTGAAGGTGTTCTTTTTTCCGAAATCGGAATCAGTGGAATGCTGCATTCAGTCATCTCCACGGAGTCATTGTTTACGACATTTTTCAAGTGTTGGGGTCTTACTGGACGAGTGAACTCCATCGACTGATTCTGAAGCTCAGAAGACAATTTAGGGGAATCTGGATGCAAAAGATGATGCAAAGCGTTTTTGTCTTTTTGGGAAGGTTCTTCCTGGGAAAAGAGACCCTTCGGGGATTTTGAGCATGGACTAGTAGAGGTTGAGTTTCCACTCGTCGAGATGATGGCATGGGAACGTTTTAAGGAAGGAATAGCTTCTGTCAGCTCCATGAAGTAGTTATGATATGACATATTCAACTCTTGAACCGGCACGTGTGGGGGAATAGCTTCCGTCAGATCCATCCCGTCCTGCTGGAAACAACGGCTTCTGTTTTCAGGTTCACTCGTGGGCTGCAAACGATTGATAGCTTTTGTCAGCTCCATTCCACTGTCATTTAGGACTGCTCCAGGGGGGAATGATGGGGTTATAGCTTCTGTCATCTCCATGGCTTCAGAGTTTAGAAGACTTTTCCTTGTTGATTTCTTAGGGTTAATGACGCCTTCGGTATGTAAAACATTCCACACGGATTTATGAGGTAGTACTGAGGGCATTGCCTCGGTAGGATCCACCAAATCTTGAGGGTTTTCGATGTTGTGCCTGGGCGCCATCGTCCCCAGCACTGAGGACAGGGCTTCTGTCATCTC